AAGGGAGGCGTGCGCTGCTGCGCAGGCGCAGTGGCCCGACGGCGACCGTGTGTTTCCAAAATGGCGGCAGCGATGGATGTGGATACCCCGAGCGGCACCAACAGCGGCGCGGGCAAGAAGCGCTTTGAAGTTAAAAAGGTTGGGTCTCGCCAGCGCCTTCCTTAGGGAAGCTAGAGAGGCGCGGACCTGGCCTGCAGGCCCGAGGGTGACTGAGGCGCGGAGGAAAGGGCTTCATTTCAGGGCGTTCCTGGGACCGGGTACCACGAAAGGAAGCCGGGGGGCGGGTCTTAGGGTTGATCGGCGTGACGACGGCCCACTGTCAATGGAAATGTTGGTTTTGCTGTGAGGCGGAGGGGCCAATCACTGAGGTGCTTATTGAGATACGCGGGGTTGCGACTTGGCTGCGGGAGCCAAGCGCTTGGGCTGTCACTGGAGTGGTTGAGGGGTGGGGGAAGGACTGGGTGGGGTGGGTGGAATGGGGAGTCTGAGCGACTGCGGTGGTGGAGGATGGGGCAGTGCGGCGCAAGCCGGGAACCTGAGGTCCTACCGCATTGGAGGCCTCTGAGAAGCCCGGCCGGTGATCTTGTCCCGCCCCCTCTGAAGCTTAGGGTCCTCTGAATGTTAAGGGACCGCAGCTTGGTCCTCGCCGAATCGAGACCTCCATGAGCCCCTCTCTGGCCCTCACCTCGCCGAGTTAAAGCGTCTCGAGTGTAATGTTTGGCTTTTCTGAGACATGTTTTGGTTTGTCCCGCAGCTGCCCCAGTCTTGTGGTTCTGTCACGTCCAGAATCTCCCCTTCCCCCAAAATAAAAAGCATGGTGGAATTTGTTAAAAAGAAAACGCGAACCCAGATCCTGTGGCATTTAGGGAGGGTTTTGTACTAGTTGTTAATGACCTAGTAAGAGTGGGAAAGCAAAAATGTGTCTTTGCATGAGATGTCTTAGTGTTTGCCAACAGTTTAGGAGAAAAGTGTGGATTTTCACCTAAGATGAAATAAATCTGTTCAAAATGAAGATTCTGAAGTTGGGAAGATGTTATCCCTGGAACATCTGGTTAAACACTGCTTTTTTGGCGTTTCATTGTGGCCACTGCTGCTCAGTTAACAGCCAGCAGCCATATTGAAGAATAATAGAAGTAGGGGTTTTTCCTCCAAGTCGGAGCTGTGTTGTGGCAAGTGCAGAAGAAGTTACCAGGCACTGAGAATTGGGTTTAGGAGAGAAAGGTTTGGGAGTTGGCACCAAATTTGTGACTGAAAGGGGAGTTTGGGGGGGCGTATTTATAATTGTGCAAGTCAGAAAGTTGAATTACTGGAATACCACTTTTAGATAAACTCTTAACTGGAATTACCTAACTAAATATAAGAGTCTGACCATATAAAAGTTGAGAATCAGTTTATTTGGTGATTGGAGCTCAACAAAATTTTAGTGAATTCTAAAATTTGTCGTAACATAATTCATAAAGTAATCTTGTAAGATTTAAGTGATGACCTTGTTCTGTGTACTGACACTGGATAGTTAGTTATCCAGCTTATCCCACGATTACCCATTTTATGATCCCATCATCATCTTAGTTCATTTTGTTCCCCGGCTTTCTCCTCCTGGCTCATGCTTCCAAAGCAGCCCTGAAGAACAGATATTTATGCAGATTTTGAGCTCTTCTGCAACTGCTAGGACAACCTGCACAGTAATTCAACTTTGTGTTTATTAAAACCTTAAAAATGATTCCTAATTTGTTTACATTGATATGACTGACTAAATTATTTTAAGCTATAGGAGAAAAAAGATGACTCACTAATTTCTGTGTTCATATACTCAACCTTTTGGAGAATGGGAGAGCATACATGCAGCCTAATGTCGTCCTTTAATATAATTAATGATAGTAATGTGACATCCAAAAACTCTTTTGTTTGGTGGGTCCCTGTGGCTAAAGAGATGATAAGTGCAGCTGTAGCATGAAATCCTATAGTGTGTGTGTGTTATATTAGAAGGAGAATGCATTGTTCCCTCTTTTTGTCTTTGCAGTGGAATGCAGTAGCCCTCTGGGCCTGGGATATTGTGGTTGATAACTGTGCCATCTGCAGGAACCACATTATGGATCTTTGTAAGTAATTGGAGGAGGATGGGAGGAAGTTGAGAAGGTTACAGGGATTGTGGCTATCCTGATGTGACCAATTTTCTTCTTCACAAAGAGATATAAAACCTAGTCAAAGCATTCTGTCTTTTGCATCTACTCTGTTGGTGTGTTTGAAATAGAGTAGTTTTTTAATGATGTCCTGGAGGCATATCCAGCACTTAGAATAAATCTACTCAATCTAAAGATGGCAGGGACACATTTAGAATGAATTGTGGACACAGAGGCACTGTTGATTCTTCCTCTGTGTCTCCCATCTCATATCCAGACTCAAAAGAAGAAAATAAACTTCAGGCTAAAATATCCTATCACAGATCCCCCCTTTAATAAATCTCTTTGTTAATTTAAAAAAATTCTATCAAAGCTAGTTTTTACTGAGCAAGATTTATAAAGAAAAGCCTAAGGAGTAAAGATGTTCGATATTAGCCCCAAACTTAGTAAAAAGGACATCATTGCCTACATCTAAATGGGTAACTAATTGCACTAAAAAAAACTTCATTTAAATCTCCACATACTGTATTACACAAAGTGGTGAGCACATAGCGATCTGATTATCGCTTTTGATGAACTGACTTCGTATCTTTATAGTACTAAGGACAAGAATATTGACCAAACCAGGAGCAGTTGGGGTTACTTTTTCATCCAGGAGCTACAATGGTTTGTTACCGAGATCAGAAATGGGGCAGAGAAATTTTAAGTTTCTAGATTTTGAATTATAGGCATTTACTTTTTAGATCGCTCATCTTCTTACTTTTTCAGGTTCATCTTGGGTCACTCTCTTGGTCACTACGGTATTTATCTGGCCTTCTTTCCATTTTTGAAATACCCATTCTCTTTTGTAGATCCCTTACATGCCTTATATATCCTGTTCCCTCTGCTTTCACCTCTTTTCCCCTCTACTTTTGTCTAACCCAACACTGTCTAGTCTAAATGTAAGCCACAAATGTGAGCACATACACTATACAAAATTTTCTAGTACCCACATTAATAAGGTAAAAAAAACAAGTGAAATGGAAACTTTTTGTTTTTGGAGTGGAGTCTCACTCTGCTGCTCAGGTTGCAGTATCATGGCTCACCATAGCCTGGAACTCCTGGGCTCAGACAGTTCTTCTGCCTCAGCTTCCCAAGTAACTGCGACTGCAGGTGTGCACAAGCATGCTTGGCTAATTTTTTAATTTTTTTGTAGAGATGAGGTCTTACTATGTTGCCTAGACTAATCTCAAACTCCTGGGCTTAAGTATTTCTCCTGCCTCAGCCTCCCAAAGTGCTGGGATTACAAGCGTGAGCCACCATGCCTGGCCTGAAGTTAACTTTAATTCTGTATTTTATTCAACCTACTATATCCAGAATTTTTTTGAGTTGGAGTATCACTCTTTGTTGCCCATGTTGGGTACAGTGGCTTGCTCATGGCCACCGCAGCTTCGACCTGCTGAGCTTAGGAGATCTGTAGGCCTCAGCCTTCCAAGTAGCTAGAACTACAGATGCACGCCACCATACCCGGCGAGTTTTTGTGATTTATTGTAGAGACAAGATCTCGCCAAGTTGCCCAGGCTGGTCTCAAACCCTCCAGGCTCAGGCAATCCTCTCGCCTCAGCCTCGCAAAATGCTGGGATTACAGGCTGAGCCACTGCACCTGTTCATATCCAGAATTTGTTTATTTCAACATGTAATCAGTATAACAAAAATATATTTTATATATTTTTTTTGTACTAAGTCTTTGAATTCACTGACAGTACATCTCGACTCAGACCAGTCACATTTCAAGTGCTCAGTAGCTACATGTGCCTAGTGGCTATTTCATTAGGCATTATAAGACTAACCCATAGTTGATCTTCTGATCTCATCTTAAACTTGCTCAAAGATATTTTCAATTTGGAAAGCACAAATCAAATATTTTGTGTTGGAAAGCCATGGCATGTGCTAGTCATTTACTGCCCTTAACTTCTTTGAGCTTTGACCCTGTTTACCTTTTCACACTACAGTAACAACAGATCAGCAGCTACCATGATGTTTAATATAGGAACCCATCAAAGAAAAACACATGCACAGAGTTAAATGTGTTTGGGTGGGGTCATTGATTACGTCCTTGCCGTTTCTGTGCCTTGCATTTTCTCTTTTTTCTTTTTCTTTTCTTTATTTTTTTTTTGAGTTGGAGTCTCACTCTGTTGCTCAGGCTGGAGAGCAGTAGCACACTCACAGTCACCCCAGCATCAACCTGCTAGGCTCTGGTGATCCTTCTGCCTCAGCCTTCCAAGCAGCCAGAACTACAGGCGCGTGCTACCACACCCAGCTAATTTTTTACTTATTGTAGAGATGAGGTCTTGCCAAGTTGCCCTGGCTGGTCTCGGACTTGTAGGCTCAGGCAATCTACTCACCTCAGCCTCCCAAAGTTCTGGGATTACGGATTGAGCCATATGCCTTGCATTTTCACAAGGAGTTGTACCCAAAGAAAATTTTGCTTTCTTGGGGGTCTCTTCTGGACATAGTTAATGATTTTAACAATTTTATGCAACTCTGATTTTGTTTTAATGACTCTCAATTTAAGTCATTATATGACTGTCTGGATGCAATAGAATGCACTTCTTGGGAGGACCACAAAAGACAAGAGCCATCCACATACTCTCCTCTTTGAGCTGAATGATTGAGGGATCACAGCAGGCAATGATTCATATTTTATGTGTCAGATAAAGTAGAGTATTGAGCTCCTACAACAAAAAATTACAAAAAAAATTTTTAAGTCATGTCCTTTTTTTATTCAGTGAATACATCCTGGGCATTTTGGTAGGCACCAGGATAAAACAATGACTGAGATCAAGTTTTTACCTTTAAGATACACATATCCACTGGAAAGAAGTTAAAGATGAAAGTAAAGTCTTGATTTAGCAGTGGCCATTTTCTAATAAATCTGCCTGGCATTAAATGAATAATTATATACATAGCTATAAGTAGGAATGATTACAGCTGTGCCCCGGTCAGACTCTCCTCCAAAGCATTCCTTATCTGAAAACTTTCTCATTTGACTCCTTACTGATTCTGCATGCCCTCCTATAGCTTTGTATTTATTTTACATTGTCCCATTTCTTGGTTGTATTAAAGAGTTGCTGAAATACAGAGTGTGCTAAGTGTTATTTTCTCTGTTACTTGATAATCTTATTCCAGATAAAGTGGGTAATTTCATTTTAGACCTAGCCTTTGTCCATAAAACCGTTAGTAGTGTCTTCCTAAAACTACTCATCTGTCAATGTTTTGAAAGTGTGAAATCTCCACTTTTGAGATGAAGCCATTGCTTCCTTAGCAGTCCTTTGGTGGTACTGCTTTCGTATCAAAGTTTAAAAGTTCCCAGCGTTTAAAAAAAATCACAGGATAGGCTTTTGCATTGACAGTGGTATGACATGGCCCATTATTGCTGTCTGCCTGCTCCAGGTTGACAGTGAACAGTTCCTGCCCCTGTTTAAACTAACTGGACTCAGCCTATGTACTTATTCTCTGCAACAAAAGCTGGAAAACATCTTATATTTGAGCACATTTTACACTTGTATTTAATCATTTTCCATGCCATAACCCTTCCTATCTGGCATTCTAGCTTGCAATATTATTCCTCCTATATATTTATGTTCTTTGTTAGGAATTTTCTGGTAAAGAATAAATATATATATATCTGGTTCCCACTCCCTCTATTTATAGAATCTGGTTTTGTTTATTCAAGTACCCAGAGTATACTTTACACTTGGCGTAGAAAAACAGGGTCCCCACTCCGTGGGAGCTTTGAGTTGGAGGATAAGGAGAGAGATCAGGTATGTAAAGAGATACTCATAATGTCATTTGATCGGTATTATTATGGGGTTTTTTTGTGTTTTTTTTTTTTGAGTTGGAGTCTCACTCTGTCGCCCAGACTGGAGTGCAGTGGCTGCTCCCGGCCACCGCAGCCTCGACCTGCTGGGCTCCAGCGATCCTTCCGCCTCAGCCTTCCGAGTAGCCAGAATTACAGGCGCACGCTACCGCCTGGCTGATTTTGTGATTTTATTGTAGAGATGAGGTCTCGCTGCCCAGGCGGGTCTCAAACCTGTGGTCTCAGGCAATCTGCTCACCTCGGCCTCCCAAAGTGCTGGGATTACAGTCTGAGCCACTGAGCCCGGCCTTGATCAGTATTATAATAAATAAGTAGTATGAGTACCCGAAGGAGAGGAAAACAATTCAGGATTGATGAGTCCGAAAAAGCCTCAGTCAAGAAGTGTAAGCTGGGTATTGAGGGTTAGGGAAGGTTGGAGTGACAGGAGGAGAGTGCTCTAGGTATGGAATAAGGGCAGACAGGAAGGAAAGGACCATGAAGGGAGCTTGAGGGATTACTTAGGGTTAGTAATGCCCTAGGCCACAACCAGAAGAAGGACCTAGAACAAATTCAAATGTGGTGATGTGCCTTCATGTGGTTTTGGTTTTTTACTTTAATAATAATTGTGGTTCTTACTTAGCTGGTTTCATAATACACAGTCCTCATCTAAGTTAGAGGATCCAACTTGAAGGATGACTTGAAAGATCTTATTTGCCATTCTCTTAAATACTGTAGTATGTTCATAGCCCCAATAAATTTTTTGAATACACTGCATAGACTCTACTTTCTTCACTCTTATCAGATGGCAAACCAAGTCACTCTGTAGTAGAAATCTGGGTCGCAAAAGTAAGTTTGGTGATTTCAGATCCTTTACCTTACATTTTTTTGAAAGATGAAAAAAACCTTTAGGGTATATCACTTTCCAAGACCAAATATACACCATTAACATTTCAGCATTATTTTCTTACAGTTTTACTATTTTCAACTTATGGTAGTTTGAAGTAATTGTCTCCTGTTAAATAGTCCTTTCTGAAGCTCTCATTCTTCAGAAAGGAGACTCCATTTAGTTACCATCTTCAGAAAAAGCAAATTATACATCAGGAATTCTTGTTCTTTGACTATCTTCGGTAGAGTTTTACCCACCAGTTCTCTATCTCAGTCAGATTTTTATTCTATTTAAATTCCCTTCTCTTGATATTTGGGTACATTTGTAGTAATTTGCTCTACTTTCCAGACAGAATCATTTCAGGGACAAAAAGCATCACAAAGTGATCAGCCCCAAATTTCTGATCCATTGCCTTAACAAATGTGCTTTGTTTGATAGTGTTGTGAAGAATTGAATTTTATTGCTTTTCACAGAGCATACTCTACAGGCCTCTCCACCCCTTTTATTTGCTTCTGTCCCAGTTACTTCATTAGGAATTGGAGCTCGTTACCCACCTGGGCCTTCTTGTAACCAAGCCCAAATGTTGTAAGTGCCTAAGAGAAAACACTTTCAAGTACAGGGAAAGATGCAGTTCTGAGAATAGTTAAGAGTTATGAGGTGGCTTTAAGACTTTACTAAATTTACCAAATTAAGAGGAATTACTAGCTAGGCACAGTGGCTCACACTTATAATCCCACCACCTAAGGAGGTTGAGTTGAGAGGATTGCCTGAACACAGGAGTTCAAGACCTGCCTGGGCAACTTGGCAAGACCTCATCTCTACAGTAAATTTTAAAAACTAGCCAGGCATGGTGGCAAGCACCTGTAGTCCCAGCTACTTGGAAGGTTAAGGTGGAAGGATCACCTGTGCCCAGGAGGCCGAGGCTGCAGTAGCCATGATTGTGTCACTGCTCTCTAGCCTGGGTGACAGAGTGTGACTTCAACTAAAAAAAAAAAAGGAATTACTTCCATTCTGACAAGTCACGTTATGCTCAGAATTCAAAAGAACCTTTCCCATTTCTTACTCTCTTTATACAGGATAGGAAATCATCAGAAAGCATACTGTTAAGTCACATCTCTGTTTTTAGTACTTATCCTTTTTCACATTCATTCTTCAGAAGGGCAAAAAACAATTATGAGCCAGGTGTGGTGGCTCACACCTGTAATCCCAACACTTTGGGAGGCTGAGGCAGGAGAATTGCTTGAACCCAAGAGTTCAAGACCAGCCTGGGCAACATAGCAAGACCTCGTCTCTACAAAAAAATCAGAAAATATACCGGGTGGGGTAGCATGTGCCTATAAATTCCAGCTACTCGGGAAGCTGAGATGAAAGGATCACCTGAGCCCAGGAGGTTGAGGCCGCAGCAAACCGTGATTGTGCCACTGTACTCCAGCCTGGGCACCAGAGTAACACCCAAACTCAAAAAAAGGGAAAAGGTTGTTGCTCCCAACATCCAGTGATCCTGTTGCTCTTGTTCCCACAGGTATAGAATGTCAAGCTAACCAGGCGTCTGCTACTTCAGAAGAGTGTACTGTTGCATGGGGAGTCTGTAACGTATGGAAACATCTTTACCTACTAGCATGGCTTGTAAATGTGTTTTAACTTTTGCTTTGCCAGTATTGAAAATAACTAGGGGCGAAAAATGGCTAGCCCACCTTTCTCCCAAAAGATATACGAATGTTAAGAAATATTTTAAAGGCCAGATGTCTTGTGGAACTAAGTTTGGTGAATAAATTGAGTGTTCAAGTCTGTGTGTGTGTGTGTGTGTGTGTGTGTGTGTGTGTGTGTGTGTGTGTGTGTGTG